GTTATAATTTTTTAGTATATTACTTGTGTGGTGTAGAAGAGAATTATCTACTGCTTGCAAACCAATGATGGTAAGATGATGTCATGGGGTAGGACTGGATAAGTCTGACTTCTTCCTACTCCATTCAAGCATGTACTAGGTATAAGCACATTGATATTGGATTAGCATTTGTTGGATATGTGTGAAATTATGTGTGTTGACATGTCGACTGTCTTTACATGCTTGAAAGAATCAATCAATGAGTTCGTTGCGGTGGTGGTGACAGTGGAGATCGGGTCCAGACTAACACGCGCATGTAAAGATCCTGATGAGTTTGATGCTCAGATAGAAAAAGTCCTAAAAATCATTTCACTCAATTTGACTTCACCTGCTAATTCAGCAAAACTGGGAGTCAGTTTGAGGCTTCATTTCCAAACTCTGAGCAGTGTCACTTGAAAATATGAATCTTGTTTCTATCTAAAGTAATGTTTTCTTTTAGTTTCATTTGTTCCAAGAAGACACACACGCACATACACGATATTTGGGATGTGTCTTCACACTCGGTCCTTTTAGGAGATGATGTGGTCATTGAAGGAGCTCTAGGACTTCCTGCTGCAGAATTGTTGTGGTCTTTGAAAATGTGCCAAGGGCTCCAGGAGTCAATAAGAGGGTTTTAGAGTGTGTGTGTTTTATTGGCTGTTGAGGGAGTTCCAGGGGTCCTTGTAGAGGTTTAGGGGGTCACTGAGTTCCAGGGGTCCTTGTAGACGTTTTCATGGTCACTGAAGAAGTTCCAGGGGTTTTTGTTTTGATCATCTTCAGTCACTGACAAGGTTCATTCTTGTTGACTGTGATTGTTCAGAGATTCTCCAGGCCTCCTTGTAAGGGTACTGGTGTTTGGTGAGATAAGGTGATAAATCTAACCAGAAGACACATGTTACATTTTCACTACTTTCGACAGTGTTCTTTGCACTTTGGGGCTGTTGGGACAAAACACGAACAAAAGGCGTTTCATGTGCTTCGTGTCTGTTTGCTTCACTGAGGACTGGCCCTGGTCCTCACATCCACACATGATGCAGATACCACTGCTGCGTTATTGACCATCAGACAGTCCAGGGTGTCTCTGTCTCTGTCTCTGCTGTGAGTAAACCTCCCCCAATTGTCCCCAGCCTTCCTGTTATGAGTTCAACCCCCCCTCTGCTGTACAGTCTGTGTGTGGGTCTGCTGTTTCCTGCCCTCGTTTTCCCGGCTGCATTGTGTCATTGTGTGTCCTGTCAAATAGCAGTGACGCTGGTGCGCAGCCACCTGTGGGACCCATGTGTTTGTGTGGATGCATGTTTACATTTTCTTCGTTCTTGTCTTTGAGTGTTTCACCTTCTACTGCCCAGCTCAAAAGGAAACAACTGCTTTTTACTACATTTAGTGAAAAAGTAAAAAAAAACAAAAAAAAACATCCATCTCGCATATTCCTGAACAGGGTCGTGGGGGTAGCTGGA